CCCCCAGAGGCTCCCAAGAGGCCCTCTCCTCCTCCTCCTCCTCCTCCTCCTCCTCCTCTTCCTCCTCCTCCTCCTCCTCCTCCTCCTCCTCCTCTTGATCTAGCCGCCGCCACGGCTGAAGGGCGCGGGACACGCGGCCCTCCCACCCTTTTCATCGCCCGCCAGGGGAGCAGCGCGCGATGCCCACTCGCCCTCGGGGCCCAAGAGGCCCATGATGGCGGCTCTCCTCTTGCTCGCGGCCGTCGGCTTCTCGCCGCGGGCGGCCGCCTGCACGTCGACAGGCGCGTGCCGCGCCCTTGGACGCACTCAGGAGCGAGAGCCGCAACCTGCTCTGCACACCAGGCTCTACGAGTACATCCCTATCTACCTGACGGGCAGCACCCGCGCGCAGGAGATCTCCCACGCGCACTACATGGGCGAGATCCTCTTCCCTGGGATGAACCGCCGCCCGACACTGGACGGCCGCCACAGCCTCTTTCTGTGCGACTACCACTGGGAGCTCTCCTTCGGCTGGACCCACAAGAGCTTCGGGGGGCGCATCTTCCTACATCGGCGGTTTCTGCAGGCACACCTACGTCTGACCTACCCTCCGCCCGCGGCGCTCTCGGGCCGCTGCGGCGCGACAATGCCGCTCCTCGGACGTGCTCCTCTTGGTTCGGCACCTTTCCGCGCCATCCACGTCCGACTCATACCGCCAGGTGGCCCAGGCTATGACCTCGTGGGCACGCACCATGATGGAGTCTGTGGGCAGTCGTCGCACGCCTTTCAGCGGGGCGGACCTCAGCTCGGCGACTCCGTGGACGAGACGTATCTCGGCTCCTCGCCCCTGCTCGTGCCCGTCTTGTGGAGCGAGGTCGACAGCGTCGAGGGCACCTTCCTGGAGCTGGAGGGCCTCCCTGGACGTCTTTGGCAACGGTTCCTCTCGGACCACGACGCCTTCTTTGCCAGCGGGGACACTTACTTAGGGACGCACGGACGATCACGCAGGATCGACTTCTTCTACGCCCCGTCCGCCCTGGAGTCCCACACACGCCAGTGCAAGGCCCCCTTGGGAGCAGGTCGCCGCCTCAACACACTGTACGATCGAGACCACCGCTGTCTACGCGGGCGACAAGTTCGAGGCCCACGCGTTGCACACCTGGGGCTACGACACGATCACGCTTCGCCTGGAGGGCGCCCTGAAGTCGCGCGACCTGCAGAATGCGGTCACGATCCTCCCCAAGATGTTGCGCCTGCACGCCCAGTCGCTCAGGGACCTAGCGGACTCGGTATGGATCAGCATCGTTACCACGCCCACGGCTACCTCGATCGTCGCAGTTCGGAAAGCGGGCAAGATGTACGCAGAGGCGGCGCAATTCCCCGAGGCGAAGCCCCAACTCACCACATTTGTACCTCGCTCACGCCGAGTTCAAGTACCTGTCGGCCTTCGTGGTGCAGGAGGCCCCGCAGGGGCACGGGCTCCCGCGTACCTTATACCAGCAGTTCGTTTGCACGGAGACGGGCTCGGAGCTCTTTTCCACCTCAGGCTGCGCACGCGCTACAACGACCAGTACACCAGGAAGCAGTTCGCTAACGCGGACCAGATCACACTGAAGAGCGTCAACCCAGACGGCCCTCGGGAGACTTGTCTCGACGTTCTGGGCGGCCGCCAGAAGATGGGGACGGGCCACCTGGAATCGATGGCCCAGAAAATGCCAGACAAGAATCGCCAGATCCACTACGGCCAGAAGGGCTGACACGGGTGGCGGATCCTACGGAAAGAGATGGGCGATCAGAACACTACGTGACGACATGAGTCCAGCAGCTTCGCTGTAGCACCAGGCCCCCTTTAGTCGCTCTCGCCGCCCCTGGTCTCTAGGGCGCGCCGTCGGCCCTTTTCTTCGGCCTGTTTTTTTTTTTGTTCCTTCTCGGGGCCTCTGGGGTGTCCAGGGAGCCTGCTCGGTGCTCTCCGCGCCGTCGAGCTCGGCCCCCAGGGGCCAGAGGGGAATCACCCCCCGCCCGCGGGCGTTTTATTGTTTCCTGTCCTGCTCGGCTCGGATCCACGGTGATCACAGCTGCACGGCGCGCCCACACGCCTGACCTCGTTCGGTCCGAGGAGATCGCACGACTGTTCAGAGGTGTCCCCGATCTCTCGTTTCGTGAGCTCGAGGGGTGAGCGTCTTCAGACTCACAGCGCAATGCCGGGTCCATCCATCCATCCATCCATCCTCTTGATCTTCCCCGCCATCCTCCCCAAAATGTTTCCCGATGGTTTTCCACAACGGTCGGGGGTAACACATGGTCCGATAGCTTGGCAGAACTCTTTCCACAACGCTCGGCCACATAGGCGATTCCAAACAGTAGGGGGCGTCGGTGATTCGCCGTAGGCGTCTTCGATAATGAGGGGGTGATGGCCTGATGTGCATATGGTGCTTCTGGGTCAGGACAGCCTGGATGGGAAACTGCATGGCTGCTATAGTTCAGAATTGGTTTCCGAGTGCGGCCAGCAGCTGGCGGGCCAGTTTGGCTGCCTCTAAATGGCTGGCACGCTGTGGACTAACTGTTTGCATGCACTAGATGATCGGTTGAACAAGCTTCGGCAGCGGGGCCGATGTGATAAGAGGATTCGACGACATGGCTCCCGGACATGGAATGAGTTTTGGCTGCCGCACTGCGGACATGCCGAGCAGAATGCTCTGCTACGCGGTGCATGTGTTGGCTGTGTAATGGAGGCCCAAACTGCATTATCCTTGCTAAACTGGCAAACCGCGGTGCTTCAGCCGATGCCTCACCGACCAGTCTAATAGAGCTAGGACCATGACTATGAGCATACCATGCGCACATTCTCTCCCTACTGTGGGAATGACTCTTCCACCTCTACCCGATAATATCTCCCCCTTCCGTCGGCAGCTACGCAGCGCTGGCACGCCGTGGCGACTGGCATTAGTAGATGCAAGGGTATGAGAAGGCAGAGCTGGGGGTGGCTGGCATGCTCGGTGACGTGACTTCCATTATGGATCGCCGTGGCTTTCAAGGCGGCGCTGGCTGTTACATTGCGGCAACAATCATTGGGTAAGTTAGTCTGGCACGGATGGCACGCACGCGCGACAAACTTGCACGTGGGAGAGGTCGGCGGGCAGGTGTGCTGGTGCACGTATGGCGGTGGTGGGGAGCAAAAGCGTGAAGACGGTTGACAGAAACGACCGATGGGTATAGGCTCCCATATCCCAACCTGCGGCAATATGACCAGGAGCGTCAACCCCACCCGATGGCAACTGCGCTACAGGGCTTGGGAACAGGGTGTCTGACCTGCGGGATCGGAGCGAGATGTGGCTGCTGTGCTGCCAGCAACGCTGGCAGTCCAGGGCGCGATGCGGAGTGCTCGTCCTATTCCTGGTGTCCTGGCGGACTGCTGGTGGCCTAAACCTGGGCAGCCAACCGATGGCTGAGCAATTCGGCAATGCATCGAGTTTGGCCGGAGCAATTCGGTTGAATGGGGCTCATGATGATGATGATGATGATGATGATGCTGATGATGATGATGATGATGATGATGATGATGATGATGATGATGAGCCCGCTCACCCACCCGGAAGATGATGTGGAGAAGCAAACCAGCCCCAATGATGTTTTGCCCGCTATGGACATTGCGCTTCCTGACTTGCACAGAACTGCGCGCGAGCGGGCTGCAGGGAAGCACGGCCGTCGAGGCGGCACGTGCTGATGTCGAATGAGCTGCGATGCGCAACTCATAGGACAATAGTCGTACACGAATGTGCCTGTAAGCTGGCGGAGTGTTGGAACTCATTGCAAAGGCTGGTGAAGGCTGGCAACTAACGGCAGGTACGCTGGATGCCGAGGGTCGGGATGGGAGAGGGCTGGCAAGGTGGAAAGAAGCCTAGCCTAGAAGCAAGTTAGGACGTAGTCTCCTCCGCCTGCACCTCCTTCCCGTCCAGCTGCGCTTCCTTTCCTCATCGTCATCACCCTCATCCTGGCCTCTCCTGGCCTCTCGTTCTTTCCGTCTCCCCTCCCTCCTTTCCTCCCTCTTCTCCCTTCTCCCCCTCGTCTCCTCCCCCCCATCCCATCCCTCGACTCCTGCCCTCCCCATCCGCAGATCGTGAGCGAGAAAAGCATTTGTGAGCCTGGGTCCGGCCCCTCCGCGGCACACATGCCCCCCACTTCTGTGACCGATCTCTGCTGTCCGCTGTGCCTCGGCACATCATGGACTCGAGACTGCTGCGATAAACGATCCGTTTCACGCTGGGTCTACGGATCTCCCGAGCAGACACAAGTGACTCCACTGCCAAATCCAAAGATGGTTCTAATGGAAGGCGCATGATCTGTAGGAGCTGGGGCCTAGGCTACGTAATACAAATTGTCCCGCTGCGACTGATTCAAATAATAGATGCAAGGAACGCCCCTGGACCGCACAAGCGAGACTCTATACAGCGTCATCTGGTTTAGAGAGCGGCGGCACGACGCAGAGCGTTATCGATAAGAGAACAGCCCAGTTCTGAAATCGCGGTAGGCTGCGAACTTCCACGCCTCCATCTCGGCGGCCGGGTCCTCCACCCAATGGAAGAACAACGGGTGGCTTGACCTAATCTTGAACGTCGCCTCCGCCTGACTGGGCCGCGCTCAAAAATCTGTTACCCCGATACCAACACACCGAGGCTGAACACGCATGGATCTCCGGTCTGCGGAAGCGGCGCCTTGCTCCTTGCTGAAGGCCGAATCCCCAACGAGGATCCAACAACTCAACCTCTCCGAGGTCGAACCTGGTCATGGAGCTGCCCGCGGGCCGCTACTCTCTGGAGCACTCCGAATGTCTGGGCTCAATCGGCCCGTGCACCTCCCCTGCCCGCTCCACGAACATGCCTCCGACTTAGCTGCCCCGATACGCAACACGCAACACGGGGCGTATTGATGCGGAGCTCAACACGTAGGCTGAAAACGTAGGTCCAACGCGATACACTCGCCAAAACGTGGCCCAATACGTGGAGCCAACACGCAACGTATTTCGGGTCGGGCGAAAGGGGGGGATAGCAAAGGGGGGGGGTTGAGAATCAGCTCACGTAGCTGATTTTCCCGGCGCCTCCCGGCGCCGGAGGCGGCTATGTATCGAGGAATGGGCCCCTCGGTGAGGCCGAAACCAGCTGCATGCAGCAGATTTCGTACCCCTCCCCTTTCCCAATCCCCCCCTTTCGTCCGGCCCGACAACACGCAACGTGTTGACACGGACGTCTTGAGCACGGGACGTATTGCGTATCCAAACGGGCGCATCGAGTCAACTAGGGCCCCCGATGCTCTTGATGGATGGCCTATCGGCTCTCCGCCAGCCTGCTCCGCCGCGCCGCGCGACAGAAGGGATGCCATCCCAGGGCCCGGGAGCCCAACAACCGACGGCTCCAAGCCTCCTCTAGATTTAAGTCGGGCGTGTCCCCCTACGGGGGGATTTTCCACGAGAAATAAAAAAGACTCAAAAATGCACCACAACGGTCAAAAAATACTAAAAAAATAATCCCCAGACTTTTTTTATACTGTTTTGGAATATGTTTTATTCTTCGTCGAAAATCCCCGTGTAGGGGGACAGGCCACGGCAATCTTGCCAACTACTCGTGCGCGACCGCTCGGAGCGTCGCTCTTCTGAGGCTGCTGCCCACATTCAGCAAGTGCCACAGTTTGCCAGACTGGGACCTCGCACCCGTCGGGCGACTCGCAACACTGCCATGCAACGGAGGTCGCCTTCGCGTCCCCGTGCCTCAGCAACCCTGCGAGAACAAAAATGCCCCACTATCCACAATGCAATCGATGGTGCCTTCCCCTCTCCTCTCCTTCGCAGCAAGGGGTGGCGGCGTGGAATGCAAACGATAAGGTAGGTTCGTGCGGCGTCGGCGCGCGCAGAAATTTTCGACAACGCGTCGATCGTTCAATCTTGAAGCGGTCGCAACCCCGAACGTTCAAGGTTGATTTCCGCCGGGTCCAGTGGCGTTACCGTGTCCCTCGGTGCTTCCGCGTCGCATGATTCAACCTTGAACGCCTTCGACGGCGTCGCTGGTGCGCCAACGCCGCATGAACCTACAGTAAGGAGGAAGGGCCCGCCCATGCAACATACTTACAACATTACACCAGAGGACAAAAACAATCAATGGATGGTTTGAACATTATATTGAGGCCGATTGTGACGGGCTTGCACACGCGCTTGGGTGCGTTAGTTTCGCGCGTTGCTGCGTGGTGCTGCGTAAGCCATCGTTAGCCAGCCAGGGGAAAGGGAAGAGGAGAAAGGCAATTTTCGGCCCCCGGGACCGTCACTATCTGATCTGGGATCTGGAAACCGCAAGGAGCCCGATAACCTGCATCCTCCAACCTGGACCCTCGAACGTCATCCCTCGACCCTCCTTTTCCTCCTCCTTCTCCTCTTCCTCCTCCTGAGGGTGGAGATGTGTTGGTTTCGTGTTGGATGTGTATCAGTTTGGGGCCCTCTGGGGCGCACATGAGACCGTATTGGGGCCGATCTGTTCACTTTGGGGGGCGTCTGGGGGGGGCGGGGGGGCGGCTCGGAAGCCCATAGAGGTCATCTTGGGCAGCTTGGGGGTGGCTACTGTGAGGCTCCTCGGCGCTTTCCTCAAGCCCTCCCAGGTCCCGAGGAGAACATCGGATGCCTTCAGAGGGTGCCGCAAGGTAGCACCATCAACGCCTGAAGAGAGCCCACGCCGGGCACAATACAAACACGACGCCGACACAGATCTCATGCCATGTAGTGCGGGAGTTGTGTCGGATGCGTGTCGGCCTGGGGCCCTCTGGAGGCGCACTTCAAAGCGTCTTGGTGCCAATCTTGGCAATTCGGGTGGGCGGCCAGTGGGGCGTCTTGAGAGCCTGCACAGTCCGTCTTGGGGAGCTTGGGGCCCTGGTGTGGGGGTGGGTATCCTGAGGCTCCTTGCAGCTTTCCTGAAGATCTTCCACGCCCCGAGGGGAGCATTGGATGCCTCCAGGGGACCCGACTACTACCAGAGTTGCATTGGTTTGGTCTCTCTCGGGCCGTCCAAAAGCCTTTCTGGGCCGTCTTGCCAAGCTTTAGTCGTGTTGGGCCTCCCTTGGGAATATCTTGGGGTTCTCTCGGGCCGTGCTGGGGCCCTCGTGGGCGGTCTTGGGGCCCTCATTTGCCGTCTTGGAACCCGCTTGGCCGTTTAGGCCAACTTTTTAGGGCCTACGGGCCGTCTTGGGGCGATTTGCGTGGCCTCTCGGGCCGTCTTGGGTTGCTCTTGGCCCGAAAAGGCAGGAACCCCCAAATCCTTTAAAACCGAAGGAAAATCACTGCTTCTTGCGTCGTCAAACCCTCTCCAGAGTGTCTTGGGGGCCTGTGGGGGCGTCTTGGGAGCCTCGGGAGCTCTCTTGACGCCGTACTGGGCCGTCTTAGAGCGCTCTTGGGCCGTCTCGGGACCTCTTGGGCGCTCTCGGGCCAATCTTGGGCCTATCTTGGGGGCCTTCTTGGGTGCCTCTTGGGCCGTCTTGGGGGCTCTTCGGCGCTCTCGGGGCTCCACCCATTTCGTAAGTGAACAGAGGACCGTCATCTCCACGGAGGGGGCAAGAGCCAGATGCTGGGAGCCAATGGCCTTACCCGGACACACGCACACACACCATCTATATATATATATATATATATATATATATATATATATACTAGAACCATCGCGCGCGCTTCGCGCGCGCTCAAGTTCTAGCTAGGCTTGATAGGCTAACTCATGTAATATCAGGTATTCAACGATTCGGGGCCCTCAAATGCTTCCTGGGTTTTTGGGGGGTCTGAACTGTGGTCTGTTCTGCAAGAGTAGACTGTGGGCCAAACTTGGAAAAATAAGGAATTGTGGGATTTCCATAGTTTTCCAGATCCTCGGCGCTGTTCGGCGCTGTTTTTCCCCATATCCTAATATGGGGTTCTTGTTATTACTTGGACGCCTCCTACTGCCTCTCCCTCCTCCTCTTTCCTCCTCCCCTCCTCATACTCAGACTTACTCATACTCAGACTTACTCATACTCAGACCTACTCATACTCAGACTTACTCACACGCAGACATACTCATACACAGACTTACTCATACACAGACTTACTCACACCCAGACGTACTCATACACAGACTTACTCATACCAGACTTACTCATACACAGTATTACTCATACTCAGACTTACTCATACCCCTACGTACACATACACAGACTTTCTCATACACAGACCTACTCATACCCAGACTTACTCATACACAGACTTACTCATACACATACTTACTCATACTCAGGCATACTCATACTCAGACCTACTCATACTCAGACTTACTCAACACACATCAGATTTGGAGGATGTCTCAAGCGGGGCGCTGGTTTCAGCACCCCTAAGGGGAGCCGCCAGGGGTGGTTTGCACGGGCTCGTTCGCGGCCATTTTGTGGGGATGTCTCAGGCGGTTTGCTTGTTTCCTGGGCTCAACATCCTTCGCTTGGAGAGCAGATTGTGAGGATGTCTCAGGCGGGGCGCTGGTTTCAGCACCCCTAAGGGGAGCCGCCAGGGGTGGTTGCACGGGCTCGTTCGCGGCCATTTTGTAGGGATGTCTCGGCGGTTTGCTTGTTTCTGGGCTCAACATCCTTCGCTTGGAGAGCAGATTGTGAGGATGTCTCAGGCGGGGACCTGGTTTCAGCACCCCTAAGGGGAGCCGCCAGGGGTGGTTGCACGGGCTCGTTCGCGGCCATTTTGTGGGGATGTCTCAGGCGGTTTGCTTGTTTCTGGGCTCAACATCCTTCGCTTGGAGAGCAGATTGTGAGGATGTCTCAGGCGGGGCGCTGGTTTCAGCACCCCTAAGGGGAGCCGCCAGGGGTGGTTGCACGGGCTCGTTCGCGGCCATTTTGTGGGGATGTCTCCGGCGGTTTGCTTGTTTCTGGGCTCAACATCCTTCGCTTGGGAGCAGATTGTGAGGATGTCTCAGGCGGGGCGCTGGTTTCAGCACCCCTAAGGGAAGCCGCCAGGGGTGGTTGCACGGGATCGTTCGCGGCCATGTTGTGGGGATGTTTCAAGCGGTTTGCTTGTTTCTGGGCTCAACATCCTTCGCTTGGAGAGGAGATTGTGAGGATGTCTCAGGCGGGGCGCTGGTTTCAGCACCCCTAAAGGGAGCCGCCAGGGGTGGTTGCACGGGCTCGTTCGCGGCCATTTTGTGGGGATGTCTCAGGCGGTTTGCTTGTTTCTGGGCTCAACCTCCTTCGCTTGGAGAGCAGATTGTGAGGATGTCTCAGGCGGGGCGCTTGTTTCAGCACCCCTAAGGGCATATGCACATATAGGAAGATCCAAAGCTACCACGGGCTGACAAGGGGAAGGCCTGGCAGCTGAGGAGGGGGGATGAAGAGGAAGAGGCTCGCATTCAACCATACTCAAAGCTCACTCTGACTCATACGCAATCACTCGCATTAGGGGTCACTCGTCTTCGTCGGCCCTGTCGCCCACGTGGACGCGCTATTGTAGTCGACCGCTCATGAACAGATGCTCACCACGGCATGACATAAAACATGAGATGCACATATGGGGATCTCCACGCAGTGAGTAATTGTTTGTGCCTCGCGGGTTTTGTTAGCCGGGCCCCTCA